ATGCGAATGTTACTCTGGTCCTTTCTTGCTTTTCATCGAAATCCATTCAGCTTTTAATATGCGAAAAAGAAAAGGGCTGTTTTTAGGGGTTTCCCGGTAATTATTCCAATTTTTCTCACATTTTAAAATTCCCTAGACCTCCACGAACATTATAAGACCACGATAAAATAAATCCGTTCAGCCATTCTCTAATATTAGCTCAACGAGCAGCAATTAATTTTTATAAATATTGAAAATAACGAACTCCATTCATGTGGGTTAAAAATCTTTATACCACAAAGGTATAACCAAATGTCTATTTAGCTGTGAGTTAACAAGATCGTTTGTGATTCAGTGGACGGAGGCTGGTCCTCATGGTCAGTATGGGAGCGGTGCATGCAGGAGGGCACGCCGGCGAGCGCGTACGCAGACGAGCAGCCCGACACGTGTCTGTGTCGCACACGTCGCTGCGACAACCCCAGCCCAGCTAATGGTGGACATGCTTGTCAAGGTAACCAGGAATACAATCCAATAGATATGCCTGCTATTAGTGCACGTTCCCTTCCCACCCTCATAAGGAAACTAGCTGTCATTCGCGACTCCGTCCGCACAGAATTAAAAAAAAAACTCAATAAGTAGCCTATGTGTTCTTCCACACTATATTCTACTATCTATTTCCCCGAATTCAAATGGCCGCTTGTTAAAAAAGTGAAGGGTTGATGAATAGTCAATAAAAATATGTAGGTGCAAGTATATCAGTGGTGAACTGCACAACTCACGGCGGCTGGTCCCCCTGGTCCGGGTGGTCGGAGTGCAGCGCGTCGTGCGGCATCGCGGTGAAGTCTCGCCGCCGCGCCTGCACCGCGCCCGAACCCAAGCACGGCGGCCGCGTCTGTGTCGGTGTTGACTCGCAGGATGTCTACTGCGGGAACCTGCCTCCTTGTCCAGGTACACCTGCTGTCAATTTTTAAACTATATTTTTCCTGTCCAAAAGTCAATTTTGAAAGAAACTTTATATTAAACTCATACGTATAATAGTAATCAGTATTTCAACGATTTCAGGTGCTTTCTAATTTGCGAACTACCCTAAAATAATGCAAAATGTTAATATATTTTCATAACTTCATTGTACTAAAATCTTAATAAGAAGTAATTAATAATCCCTATACATAAAATTTCTTAAAATTACTAGATCCAGCATTAGCTCCCGTTGATGGTGGTTGGTCACCCTGGGGGTCGTGGTCAGCGTGCACCGGCACCGGGTGTGGACCCAACGCAGGAACCCGCGAGCGTCGCCGGCAGTGCACTGACCCCATACCTCAGCATGGAGGCGCCGACTGCGAAGGTCAAGCCACTGAGAAGCAATTATGTGACCTCAGGCAGTGCGAAGTCAGGAAGGCCACCGCGTGGACACCCTGGGTACAAATACCAAGTAAGTTCGACTAAATAACTTCAAAAACTCGGAACAGTATTTTTTTTTAAATATTAGCTAAATGTGTTCATTTTATTGCAGGTAACATATCTGACGGCAGCTACACGGAGAAACGTTTCAAATTCTTATGCAAAGCGCCTTCATATGAACAAATAAAGGTAATTTATAAACTTTAGAATGAAACTAGATTTTGGTCCTACGAGTCGGATATTTTAAACGATTGTCTTTCTAGCTGTCACTGGCCCGGGAAGAGGAGAGATACTGCAACGCCTTGGGGACGTGTAGCAGCACCCCCCTAGAGGAGGAGGGGTGGGAGGTTTGGGGTCCGTGGGGGGCGTGCTCTGCGGCGTGTGGGGGCGGGCAGCAGGCGCGCGCTCGCCGGTGTCGCCGCCCTCCCTGCGCCGGCGCAGCGGACATGCTACGCGCATGTAACACACACGCTTGCACCGGTACACACATTGCAAATAATATTTCAAAATTAAAATAGCTAAACAGACTTATATTTAGTCTGATGTCGGTACAGAACGCCTTGCACACTGAATTTGTTACTTTACTAGCTGTCGCCCGCGACTCCGTCCGCGCGGAATTAAAAAAGAACTAAATTGGTATCCTCTGTTCTTACAGACTATATTCTATATGTATGCCAAATTTCATCAAAATCCTTTCAGTCGTTCCAGAGCTACCTTCAAACAAACATCCATCCATCTAAACATTCGCATTTATAATATTAGTAAGATAAGATAATGTGACGAACATACAATTTTCCTAATTTATGACTACCGTACACAAAACTTCTTATTATATTAGTGTTGGCGACGAAAATATTAAATCATCATTTCAAGAATTGAGGCGGCAAGTTGCAAGAAGCTCAATTAGAGGAATAAGCAAAAGGAATTTTTATTATTGAATAGTTATAAACGAACAAACAAAATATTATTTGAAAGACGAAAGTGCAGGCAACATTCGTTAAAGATTATCTGTTTTATTGCCGACTTTCCGATAATTACCTTTTGGCTTTAAATATTATTAATACGAATTCTTCATTTCTTGCAAATTGAACAATACCACAAAGGAACTGCCGCGCCGTGGAAGCCATAAAAGATTGCAAAGTTTATGGCACCAATTTTGACAATGGCTTACAATGTGCAAGCGCCGCGGCACCAGATGTTGTTTTAGGAAATATTAGTGTATAATAGTGATGTGAATTAATAAAGTAAATATGTGTCGTGTATCGCCAAAATGTCCGTGCTAGTGTAAGTAACATATACATCGTTTGAATAGTGTAAAGTGTATCGCCAGTCATCTCTTTTATATGTAAGTATTTTGTATTAAGAAAGTATATGTTAATATGTATCGAGTATGTTTGATGTAATTGTATATATGTTGTCGTACCGTTTAGATTTTGTATTTTCCCGTTTGTCCTCACACGTATCGGTGTGATATAATTTTGTGCTCTATTACGTCTTAGATTTAGTTGTTTAGTTTTATGATCTAGATGTAAGGATAAAGTATTGTATTTTTGAATATTAATATGTATGTTTGTTATATCTGTGTATTTCCTTATGATTTTATATGTTGTAAATAAAGATTAACCAAAGGTTCGGTCTAAGCACGCTGTGGTCCGAGCGCTTCCGAGAAGTTCCTTCCTCGGCTTAGCGGGCATATAAATAAGACGCCTAACGGCGCAACAACGTAGTCGCAACTCAGCCTCTGTCCAGACCACACGCAAGCGCTTTGACTGACCCCGAGGAATTCCCGCTTTTATCAAAGTGTTTTTCTTGGGCGACTTTTCCTGCGTTTTTGGTCCGTAGTAGACTTGACCTCTTTAACTACTCTTTCTGCGGGTCCTGGATCGGTGTTACCGGCGCAAGGTGAGGATCGAGTTGCGTGCCGCGAGGTGCAATACGAGGTTCTCGCTTTGTTTATACGCACCGGTCACCCAATTGGGAGCTTGTC